GAGATCCAAGATACTGGTCAGATCCTGAGGAGTTCTTTCCTGAAAGGTATGAAGACACTGAGAAGGGGAACATACACAGAACCAGACTTCTTTATTTATGTTAAGATGTCTTTATTGAAATCAGATACATAAATTTATATTATTGAATGTATATTTGATCTTAGAATATATGTAGTACAATTTGATAATGATTGTAAAAACTACAGACATTTTATTGACCAAAAAATGACAGTCCTATATTTTGTAATTGTGTTTTAGAGACTTAGACCTGTCTTAGTCATGGTTTTTAATGTTGTGAAGAGATACTTTCACCACGGCAACTCTTATGAAGGAAAACATTTCTTTTGGGATGGCTTACAGTTCAGAGGTTTAGTCCATTATCGTCATGGAGGGAAGCATGGCAGCATGCAGACAGACATGTGGCTGGGAAAGTAGCTGAGAGATCTACATCCAGATCAGCAGGCAGCAGGGAGAGAAGATTGAGACACTAGGCTTGGCTTGAGATCCTGAGACCTCAAATCCCACCACCAGTGACAACTTATCACAAAAGGCCACACCTCCCCAAAGTGCCATTCCCTATTAGCCTATGGGGCCATTTTCATTCAAACTACCACAAAACATTAATGAATATTTCATTAATGTTATGACATCATGGACAAACTTCAAAGCATATATAAGTATTTAGAAATTAGAGAAACATCAGTTTTCTCCTATTTTTATAATTGCTGATTACTTTCTATAACCTATAAATGGTATCTTATGACACATGCTTTTGTGTGTGTGTGTGTGTGTGTGTGTGTGTGTGTGTGTGTGTGTGTGTGTGTGTAAAATCTTTCTCAACAGGATTCTATCAAGTTCACCTTGCACATATGTACCAGTACAATTTTCACTGGACTCTAATGCTGTTCTATAAAATAGCTTAAAATTATTTCTCAAACTTACCTAATACTTAATAACTCTCAGAGAATAGATGGTTATTAGTCTTCTAGAACATTTCCAGAATCAGCATTTTTATTTAAATAATTATTTGAGAAATCAAATTTTAATTGGACATAGGTCTGTACTTTTAGTAGTTTTTTTTTCCCATAATGGAGGAGATGGAGACAAAATTCAGTGATAACAGAGTAGAGAAGCAGCATGTGTCCTTGTAAAACACTTCAGTTGATAACTCTTGGAGGAGGGAGAGACAGTCAAAGTTTTTATGAAAAGTGCTTAATGAGGGACATGCAAGGCTGGAGAGGAAGAGCAGGAAGAATCTGAAATATATTAGGATGATTAGAATGAGAAAAGGATAGGAAGAAACAAGAGGATGTTGAAAAGAGAATGGAATCAAACATTTCATTTGTAACATACATCTCATACATCTCCTCCTTCCCCAATGAGCAAATGCATAACTCAAGTGTCAGGGCAATTTTTAACTTGTCCATCACTTTTACTTTGTGATGTTCACACACTGGGAACACATGACACTCTCAATATTTTAAACTTTAAAGACACATTTAATTTTAATGAGCATTAACCACACATCATCTTATTTACTTCGGGAGCTCCTTTAATGTAAAGTTGTAGAAAGAACTTTAACTCCCAAATCTCATAATGAATTAACTCACCCTATTGCAATAGTGAACCCACTGAAGTGCCCTTTATGATTCTGGCTGAGGACTGTAGGTGAAAACTGTAAATGTTTCAGTCTTGTGCACTTCATGTTTCATTATTTGTATTCTTGTTCAATTGTGACACCAGGTTCAGCAAGGAGAATAAAGATAGAATCAATCCTTATACATACCTGCCTTTTGGATATGGTCCTAGAAACTGCATTGGCATGAGGTTTGCTCTCATTAACATGAAGCTTGC